TGAGTGGAAGGTGAAAATGAACGCTGCCACCTCTCAATTAAAGCTGTGGTGCCAGTTGGTACGCCTGATTTTTATCACAGAGTGTTAATAACTTTTGTGTCAGCGATAATGAGCACATAATCCGCTCTCAACGCAGAATGCTTATGGGCGCTGTATTAGTGTGGATTACGGAGCCCGGCCAGTGATTTACACACTATTGTACAGGTGGCACTTTTATCTCTGCAGTTAAACTGATGCAGGGATTCTTAAATCTTGATAATAAAACGAAGTTTCTTTCATGTCACCAGGCCTGTGACACTGAAGATGGAACATTTCCTGACCTTAAAGCTCTCCTTATCCTTAATCTCTTCATGCATGTGGGAAAACATGCATTAAAGACGCCAACTTTGAATATTTCTGGTAATTTAACCAATCTTGTTACATAAAGCTTTTATTTATTTACAAAATGAAAAATTGGTCTTGATCGTTACGTCATCCCTGTACAGACCACACACTAAGTGATGAAAAACAATGGGTGATTGATGCACAGAGCATTTACACATCTGTTGTGCTCCTCAAGAGGGATTTGAGGGATGCTCAGGACCTTTGTAAGCATTACTGGCGTGTGGGAAGCTGCAGTTGCAGTGCAGAGTGGAAACTGCAACTCTCAAGCACAGCTTTCCCCAGCATTGCATCAGATCTGGGTATTTTTCTCAAACCACATCAAACAGATCTGAGGAGAGTCATACCTACAGGAAGTCGCCCACCAGGACTCCGACTGCCCTGAATTATCCCAACATTCATGTATTTTCGGCGTCTGCGAACTGTAAACGTGGTCCAAAGTGGACGTGTTGATTGGGGGTTTTTAGTGATTAAGCTTTAATGCAGGTATTTAAAGTCAGCAGCTGGTTTGGTGGATAAATCAGAGCGACTGAAGCTCTGGCAGAGCAGAAGTTCCCACGTGGAGGGCTCAGAGAAAACAAACAGTGGAAACTGGTCAGCTTTTGGCTCGGCCGACTGTTATTTCATCCTATTCACTGTAAGCAGGCGTCATATATGCAATACTGCATTCCTTCATATATTTAGTGTTTTGTTTAGTCTTCAAGATGACAGAGTATTCACACCAACCAACATATTTATTATATGACAAGGATAACCCAAGTAAATAAAACATTTCATTTTCACTAAGCGATAAAAGCTGTTCAAACCAGCCTGGTCCCACGTGAAAAGGTGTTCACCCCATTTGTTAATGGAGTGGTTCTCTTGTTTAATCAATACATTTGCAGTCGTCCCTAGTAGGGATAAATGCCTTGTAAGTCGTTCTCAAGGGGAAACAATATACCGGTGCACATTTTCTCCGGCCTAAAAGTCTTATTTCCTGAAATTTGGACATCTGGCCCTGGACTGGATAATAAGGCGACTCTACCTTGCAACTTGGATGTTTTATCTCCACACATAACACCCTTTCTCATTGTGAGTCAAGATGGGTGAGTCCATGAACGCTAGATCACAGCGACGTAGATCTGTGAGGATTTTCAAATCCTAGATTTTCATCATTTATTTTCTATCAGAAGCTAATGCAGGAGATAGGTGTAGGAGAATATTTTCATGTTCAGCCTGCATTAAAAACTCAGAGGGATTGATTTTATTCTGAAAAAAAAAAACCACATAAAAGGTTTTTTAGTCAACTACCACTTTAAATCATACATTAACTGTCACAACCGAATTGTTTGGAAAACTGAGTTTAGTTTCACTTGCTACAACGAGACCTGATTACTGTCAGACTTGTAGGATTATTAATTTGCTTTAAAGGTTGAATATGGAAAATGGACAATCTGGCGAACTCTGGTGTTCAGAGGTGGTATTGCAACAACAGGACTAATTATCCAGCTTCCGGGATGTTGGTTCACCTCTGACACGTTCCAGCACCATGTTCAGAGACAAATTCTACAGGATAAGGACTCATTTCTACTAATAAGTCTATTTTACAACAATATTTGCTGTCAGAACATCTTCTGGGCTCAGAACCAGTTGCTTGACTTGTCAAGTCCGCCATTTTACACAGTCCCAACCTTGCCTTGCTGGGCGGACTTTTTAGCGCAGCTGTGCCCTCTAGTAGCTGGTAGATGTAAACATAAACACAGTGTCGTGCCTGACAGAATAAAAATGTGGTTATTTATCTTTTTAAATATAGCTTTAAAAGGAGAAACTCTACATTCATTCTGAACGCCCTGTGGAGGTATGATTTTTTTTTAAATATAGCTTTTTATTAAAATGTTCCACATTCTAACTTTAATTGAACCTGTCTGACAACATGAAGTAGGTTAAAAGACCTCAAAAAGCAACACATTATGTTTCATTGTACAAACACTCAAGAACAAAAGAATCCAGTTAAACATCTAAACAGCTAAAGGAACACCAGTCTTACTTTACCAAACAAACCAGCTCAGTGGCCTGGTGGTATGACTGTCTGCCCTGAGACTGGGAGATCATGGGTTCAAATCCATGGTGGGGTCATACCAAAGACTATAAAAACACTCAGCATTAAGGGGTTTGATTGGGGGTTTAAACCAGTAAATGGTTCTCAAGTGCCGCCATGTCTGCAAAGAACACATTTCACATCAGCGTGACAATGAACCCAACTACTTTTGGTGAAAATGTTCTGTGGATTGATTCAACTAAAGTGGACCTTTTTGGAAAGTATGTGACTTGTTAAATATGGTGAAAACTAACTCTGTATTTCTGCCAGAGGACATGATACCAACAGTTAAACATGACGGTGGTAGCGTTAGGGTCTGGGTCTGCGTTGGTACTTCATGACCATGATTTCTGCTCTTGTAGTGGTCAATATTCCTGTCTGACCTTTGGCTTTAATCAAGCTGATGATGGAGGACAAACTGCCAATGTGAGCAGTAATGTCATCACAGTTTTTACTGCCAATAAACTATTAAAGACCGTATTCACTAGTTTTTACAATACATTTGCATTGGTCTCCAGTATGAATGAATGCCTTGTGAGTGGATGTCTGTGGAAAAACAGCTTTGGTGCTCCTGTTTCAGGAACTAGAAGTGAGCCAGATCAGACGTGAGCGGAACACGGCAGGTTTTGGAATCTTATTTCCTGATATTCTGACATATTTTCTCTGATTGGCTAACAGCAACACAATTCTACCACTGACTGTTTTATTTCCACAAGTAACACAAGCCTGAAGAAGTTCTACCATGTTGAGGAGCTGCGAATGCCAACAGTTAGCTTCTACTAGCCGAGACGCGCTCTGCTCTCTCCGGGATGCTAAACCAACAACAGCCTTTCCTGCAGGACATAGGGGTAGAAGACTGTTTTCACATTTAACCTGCGTGTGAAAATCAGAGTTGTTTTTACAGTATTACTGAGTGACACATTTTAAATAGTAACATGTCTGTGGTTCAGTCAGTAGTTGCAGCATATTCAAAGTGCATCCATAGCCAGGGTCCAAAATGATTTCCTCCAGCTCTAGCATCAGGATCAGCTTTCTTATCTCACGTTTAAAGTAAGACTGACTGTAATTGCCCTTATTTTCATCATTATTGTTATTTTTTGTTTTGGTGTTGTTTGCACTGTTTCTGGACAAACATACAAAGAAGGGGAAGTTTAGCTGCCACAGACTTAAACGGAGGAGATCAGGCTGACAGTAATGGGTGTGACCATTAAAGCTGAGCGTTTCTGTTTTTAGATGCGACAGGGTGACAGACAGTAAACATTTACCACAGCCTCTTCACTTTTACTTTTAAGCAGCAGGATTGTTATTTGCTCAGCTGATTTTACGTCATGTCACTCAGTTCTCACCCCATTGTCCCACTTAATTCAGCTAATAATAAATTCTGCGAACAAGCAATTAACGCATAAAGTATGCATCTCAGTACTGTGTTGTTTTGAGTTATAAGTTGCTGCAAATTTTTATGACAAAAACGTTTCGCTCCCCTTTTATCTGATGTTTCGGTCAGAGAGTGATAAGAGATGTTGCGATGTGATGAATTCCAAATCAAGTCAGGGGAACTGTTGTGTCACTGAGGAGTGTGTCAGCACTGAGGCCTTCTATCTGTTTCTGGCCGAGCTGTAATGTAAAATCCAGAGGGAAGGTGTTAGGGGCTGGGGAGAGGGTGTGGGATGTGCAGGGTGGTGATGGATGAGGACCGAGCAAAAGAAGGACGAGGCATGAAATAGAATGAGGATGAAGGACAGAGAAGTCCTGGCCAGCCCGAGGAGGAGGCAGAGGCGGGGGAGAGAGCGTGGGACAGAGATGGAGAAAGTGAGAGTCTAGAAAGAATGAGGGTCAGAGAGACACTAACCTACTCTCAAAAGTGCTGATGCTTGCTACATTGTGCTGCACTGTGCCGTGTTGCTTAAATTTACATTTAATCAGAGTGAATCAGGTGAATATTCTTCCTCAGCTGTAACTAACATGAAGGTCAGTAGGTCAAAGATAAAAGCATCTGTCATGTTTTACATCTAAAAGTCCTTTAACAAGCTCCTAAGGTTCTGTCACAGCAGGTGATGGTCGTATCGTACTTCACCACCTCCAACTCCCACCTCAGTCCCCGCGGTTAGCTACCATTTTATCCTACATCCACTGGCACCAGCTCATTTCACTGGTTACTTTGAAATCATTTTGGATACAGCAATTGTAGCCATAGTTGTTTCTAATGGCAATGCAACTTTGAATGCTAGTAACTTTATGTATGACACAGTAAAGAGTCAAACACCTTAAAAGTTCTTCTAATAGAAGCAATGCACTACTTATGCTATGCCATTAGGTGGAGAAAGAATTGGCATTTTTGTTTAGTTTATGTTGAACATATAAGTAAACATGTGTACATGTTAATAATAGAATTGAATAGAGTAGAATGTAATGTAAAATAATATAATATAATATAATAATATAATATAATGTAATATAATATTATATTATATTATATTATAAAAACAAACCCTTTGTTTTTTTTAACGTCACCAAAGTAACAGTGGCTATTTTATAAGTAGGTTCATGTTTCTGTAAATGTTCAATCTACTCAACTAAACCGAAATATAACTAAAATTTCTATTTTAAAACAGTTCTGAAAAACCATGTTTTTCTTAACAAGAGCTTGATTTGTGCTGCTGTCGGGTACGAATACAGCAGAAACTCTGTTTATAGAAAATCTGGAGCAGTGTGGTTGGGACCTTTTTTGTAATGGATTGTGTAAAAAGCCACAAACATTTAAAAATCATGTTTAGAGATCTTTTATTAAAGAAATGAAGCCAGTGGAAAATCATTGTAATCAGATTTTCTAATGATAATCATCACATTAATAAACCATGTCTCATCTCAGCAACCTGCCCCAGCTTTAAACATTTGTGTCTACGTCATGCTCTTATGTGCTGCTCTGGTGAGCGGAGGAGCAGAGACGAGGATGAGGAGTTCGATATCACGCTGAGATAGAAACCTCAGCAGGTGGGATGATTAGCTATTATTTCCTCCATCCTATTTCCAGGCTTTAGCCTTTTGGTAATCTTTACAGTGTTGCAGTAATGTAAATGTAATTACTTCAGCGTTTACATTGAATCGGAGAAGAAACCTCCCTCTTGTGCTTTTCCAGCTTCACTTCTAATGACCTTCCAGCTAGTTATCTACACAGGAAGCCCCGCTGCGGAGCTGTGAATCACAGCTGAATTGTGGGTAAATGAAGCTTTCATTCTGGCTGTGAGCTGTCATGATCTGTTTGAGAAATGTGGGATTGTGTTCACGCATGCACACATACTAACATACAGTGGTCCATCTTTTCCTCCGCCACACACACGCTCTCTTACACACACACACACACACACACACACACACACACACACACACACACACACACACACACACACACACACACACACACACACACACACACACACACACACGTGGTAAAGGCACAAACAGAGTCATCAGTCACCGAGTCGAGGGTGGCAGCTTAAAGGAAGCCGTGTCCTTTCTGTATCTTACAGTCCATTTGTTACTTTCTCTTCGATCCATTAGTTTATCTGTCACTCTTCATCCCTCCTCTGTCGCACATCCACCGCCGTTGCTCTTCCTGAGTGCCGCCTGACCTTCCTCGGGTCGTCTTCCTGTCTTTGGCGGGCCGGTAGGGGAGAGGGGGGCCGGCTGTTAGCAGGCCGGCCAGATGGCCGGGTCTAGTCTGGGACCGGAGCAGAACCTACCAGCCAAACCGGTAGCAGACAGAAGCACTGCGGGGAGCAGTTTCACCGACGTCTCTGCTCCTCCCGTGGTCAAAAACGCTAATTAGCCATCGCTAAACAAATGAACGGACCGTCCAGGACGGTGTATTGAGCAGACACAGCCTTTCCTGATGTGTTATTGCTCAGGAATCTTAGCTGACAGGAGGCTGAGCTGGAAAAGGGGTGAAGATGATTCGAGTAGAAAAGTCAAACCGATGACAAGGAGGTTTGACAGCAGGGGAGGAAGCTAGCGGGGCTGAGAGGCGGCATGTGTGAGGAGTTTGATAGGAAATGACTGCTCCTATTCTTGGAGTGGATTCAAACCCCCTACTTCTTCCCACTTCTGCTACATCAGCTGCTGATATTCAGCCTAATACATGGCAATAGCCTTAGCTGGACATCTCTTCAGGTATCTGCTGCACCTGGTCTGAGGACGTCCCGCTAGCCAACCGTTCATGTTGCATCTGATATTATAAACTTTACTTAGTGATGGCGTTGTTTCAGAGGCTTTCAGGAGCACATCTGTTTGTCACAGCCTCTCCGAGAGCACCTCCTGCATGTAAATGAACTCATCTTGCTGACAAATGAAAGCAGGAGCTGTTATCTGAGTGGTCATTTGAGAGAGGACAACTAATCCTGGCGTGGCACCAACAGCAGTGCTCTCCTGTAACCGAGCTCTCCGAGCTTCCGCCCATACGTCAGGTACTGAGATGAAAGAGGGGCCTGTCTGTGCTACATGGCTAATTTAAAGGATTATCACCTGTTCTACTAAAGCACATTAATCCTAATCCTGCTTTAACCCCTTTGATTTGAAGTCAGAGTGATTTAAGGAGTGGACTGACCTAATCTCTTCACAACATCTACCACAAACTCCAGCTGCTCAAAGGCACTGCGGCTTACTCAACACAACGACGTTGCGGTTCTTTAACGATTCCGTTTGGTGCTGTGCATGTGGATCGAGTTATTACTGAATCCTTTTGTGCATCGCGCCTTCTCTCCTCGAGAGTCTTAATTCTCAGCTGATGTGCTCTCACAGGACCAGATTATACGGGGAGGAAGAGCTGTCATCGGCATAATAAGCTTTAAGTATTAAGGTATTCTGATTTGATGAAGTAAACCCCGACAGTATCTACTGTACTTGGCACAGCCGTACTTCTGCATTCTCAATCCCACACAGACTGGAGGAGAAGTGACAGAGGACCCTATATGTAAACATTTGCAGCTATTTGCTAATAATTGTTCTTTTCAAGAGATAATCTGTCGTAAATTGCCACTTTAATGCTTTAATGTGCTTATTATGATCACCAGATTGCAGCGTGTGCGTGGGTGGGTGACACATGGATGCATTTGATATGAGAGAGAAAGCAAACAGAGACTGTGGGAGAATTTAGACAGACTGGGTGTGGCGATGACGGTGGGAAGCAAAGGTAATTGAAAAAGAGAGGAATACGTTTGGTTTTGGGGTTTTTCTAAATGAGGGAGTAGAGATGGGTGAATCCAACCACAGCATGCTTTTGTGTGTGTGTGTGCGTGTGTGTGTTTGTATTCGTGGAAACAGATAGACACAAACACATGTGGATGCATTGTCCCGTTTCCATCTCCGTGTTTAATGTACAGAGAGCAGAGGACCACACAGGATGTCTGCCTCATGCGTCGGAGTATGTGGTAACGATATTATTATTGATCCTGCCGCAGACGTCAAACCCAAGCGCCGATGTTACTGCCTCTCTGATTGAAACAATATGCTGCAGCCTGTTTCATCCGTGTCCAAAACCACTGAATTATTAAACACAACTCTGAAGCAAAGGGTTGCTCAACGTCGTAACACAAATCTACTGTTAGGAGCCTCAGGGGGATAAACAAGCCTTTATTCATTAGTGTGATTGGACGTAGAAAAAGAAAGAGGAGAGAAATTAGGGGATAGGACTTAAGAGAATAAAGAGATTGTAATCATTTGGCTTAATTGCACATGACGATGTGACGAATTGCTGATAAAACTGCAAAAAAAGAGCTTTAAGAAATGTTTTTCATAATCACGGTCTTTCATATACAATACAGAGAAGGGTGTTGATGTCTCTGTGAGGCTAAAATGGGCTTTTTGGGTACATCAGGATTTAATGAAAACATTTACTCTCCAGAGGCCTCTGTGAAATTGCTTATGAATGGATGCAAGGATGTTCTGCAGACAAGATGTAAGCTATTCAATGACTTCAAGTCGCAAATCACGAAATCGCACCATTTCACACTTGATGTATCCTGGCAGGGCTGCTTTGTGATTAGCTTTCAACTCCCAGTTTTTTCAGACTCCTGTTATTGTTTATCAATAATGTATAGTTTATGTTGTTTATTGTTCATGCATGTATGATGGGGTTCATTGAAAACACTAGCTGGTAAGTACTGGTGAAGATGAGTGGTCATTGCGTTTAGAACCTGAAGTCAGTGTTACAAATGGCATCATGTGATCTGCAAAAAAGCACTAATCTTGAATCACAGAGTGACTTTCTCATTAACACAGATGGTGCATTGGACTAAATTATTTAAATAAACACAGAGGCTGTTTCTCACAATGCACACTTGTCTGAACCGGTGTACTCATGTACTAGTGAAACAACGTTGGCTCAAGTAGTGTTCCAGTTCTAAGTACATATCCTGACAAGTTCCTAGATGTGTTATTGCTCCACCCATTGTGTTGAGGATGCAGCAACGCATCCTTCTGCAGACGTGGGCTCCCAAGGTTCCATAATGCAATGTGTTACTGTTAAACCCTGAATCTAATATTGCGGAGAAGAAAGCTCCTATCTTTAGTGTTTTTTTATTATCAAAAATACAAATAAACAAATATAAAAGAAATAAATAAATATAAAGTCTGTTATTGTAGGTAAGCGTGTGCAGCCTGTAAAATATGCTAGTTTTTAAAATATTTTTTCAAAATGCTAATTAGCTAACCCACTATCAAAATAAAACCAGGGTTGCCATAAATAACTCCTTAATAAACAGCAGGAATGCTGGTCTTTTATCAATTTGAAATAAAGTGGACCAAATATTACAGAAATAAAATGTATTTGGGGTATTTTTTTGTTATTTAAAGGACAAACTAGACTTTTATTTGTATTTCAGGTCATTATTGTAACTGTAGCATAAAGCAACGCTTGTTGCATGATGTAACGGAGTACGGTTCTTTTCCAAATGCCGTCCTTGTCCTCCTGTACTTGATAGAATAACATTCTGCTGTACTTTCCAAGAACATGCTTGCCAAGTACGCGAGAATGTACTAGTGTACCATGGCATTGAGAAACGGCCAGAGACCCTGCCTCACAAACGTGCAGATCCAATTTAGCAGAGACCCTTTATAAGAAATTCAGAAGTTCCTGTTTTTAATGTGTCAATCTTACCATAAAGCCCAGTGTGTGATATTTACCTGCTTACTATAAGTGCTGGGTTTCCAGTTCACAAACTTGTCCATTTTAATTAATATTTCTCACCAGCATCAATTCTAAATATTCCTCTCAGCTTGAAATTTTACATTTTTAACTACACTACCTGTGGTCGACGCTCCATAGTCATCCACCATCTTGTAATACAGTAGCTGTTGAGGGACATACGAGCTCCGCTTTGTGCGTTTGGACCATCGACATAAATATACGGTTTGGACTGACCGTAACCTGAAAGAACCAGCAGAGGGCAGCAGTGTGCCCTGGAAGCATGGAGTTTGCTAATTCATCTAAGAAGTAGAAGAGACAAGCTGCTTCGTTGCCTTACTTGTTAGTTTGAATAATAAACAATGAAATCGAAAGACACATCAAATTTGTCAGGCCATCATCGTGTCTAACACTAGGAAGCCGCACATACGTTAGCTTAGCTGGTGGCTAAGTCAGCATTGTTTACGTGATCTCCACGCTTGCTAACCCTCCTTTGCCAGCCATAGCGCTGTGAGTGATCGCTACATAGAAGATCGTTTTCTTTCTTTTTCCAGATCCTTTAGCTGGTAGCAAGCTTGTTTACAAAGCTGCTCTCATCCACGTGAAACAGGTGTTGTGGGATGTTCCCCTGAAATATTCTGTTTCCCTTAGGCAATCCAGAGCAAATATTTCCAAATGCACACAGCTTATTGTCTATTAAACAACCTTGAATTAAAGATGGTTAAACTGAGTGAGATTACATCCTTTTACATAATTTTCAAAAATTATAAATAAGCCTGAAAAGAGGAATGTTTTTACTGTACCTCTTTTGTTGTTTTTAGGAGGACATATAGATATAAAAACATCACAAGCATGACATTATTTCATTACATTACATTATTTTCCAAACATAGCCTTAAGAGCCTCCTCCCGACACGAGGGGGGAAGAGACAGAATATTTTAGGGGAACACAATTTTTCACAACACCTGACCTCCCGGCTGACGTCACCCCTCCTCCGTGTGTGGATCATGACAGCTTCAAGGTCTCACAGAACTAGCTTGCTTCCTTCAGGACTGGTAGGTTGATAAAACAAGCATAATTATAATTGCTTTTTTAACTGGTAGAGTAGTTAAATGCTTTGTGTGGATTAGGCTAGAAAGATTGGAAACTGATGATACGATCAAGCTCATGAGGGAGCCACCGTAGCTGCGATGCTTTCTCTGAACTGCGTGGCGCTAAAGAGTCACATTTTTTCATCAAGATTTCAATGAATTTCGCACATGGGGCCTTTAAAGGAATATTTAAGCAATTTTAAAGTGAGTTTTTTTGTTTTAAACTATTTTACCTTTTGTAGATTGCTTCCTGAAAAGTCTCTGTTTGGAGGAACATTATTTACATCTTAGGACTGATTAGCTGAGAGCTAGTCAGAGCAACACCAAAATAAAAGTCTAGAACTTAAAACTACTCCATTCTTGTAACCTTCTCAGTGGCCTGGTGGTCAATTGTCCGCCCTGGGACTGGGAGATCGGGTTCAAATCCCAGTCAGGTCAAACCAAAGACCTTAAAAATAGGAACCAGTGCCTCCTGCGCGACACTCAGCTTTAAGGGTTTGGATTGGGGGGTTAAACCACCAAATAGCCACAGCTGCAGCTCACTATTCCCCACGGGGATGGGTCAAATGGAGAGATGAATTTCACCAGTGTGTGATGACTAATGGGACTGTAACTTTATTGGTACACAGTATTATCTAAACCTTCACATTAGGCTCATTTCAACTATCGGCTAGGTAGAGTGGCTGGGCGGGACTTATGGTTATCTAATGCTGATTGGTTGTAACTTTCTAGGAAATGACATCAGCAGGCACCGTCAAACAACCGGCATTTGTAAAGTTGGAAGAGTTGTTGAATTTGAATGGAAGGAGAAGGATGACAGTAGCTTTCATGCTGCTTTAAAATCGTTGCTTCTAAACTCCCAACACTGGAAAATGTGTTGGAAATCCCACCACAACATCGTAATCTTCACCGCTTTGTGGTCTCCTACAGAGCGCTTTAAAAATGGCATTTTATACCACACCCCATAACAGATACAGCATGTTACAGCGTACTTTAACAGAATAAAACTTTTAATGCTGTTCATGTCCGTGGAAGCCTTTTGGTGCTGATCTGTGACATCACTGCCAAAACTTCCACGCCAACTGTCAGGATTTAAATGTTTATGACATACAGTTGAATGAATACGATTCGGAACACTGGAGCATTTTTTTGGACTTAGTTCTTCAAACTTGGAACCTGCTGGTTACAGTAGTAATAATAACCATGACTACCACTAATGTTTTCATCTGGGATATGATCTATGACCTTCAGCATGTAGCTTTGTAATATGATTCTATTTAGATTATTCAGCTTCTGAGACAAGCTGGGGTCATGGGCGGTATCTTCATTCAGCAGCTGCTACTTAGAGACTTAGATTTGAGCCTCCAATTTCTGGGAATGATTCCCTGGGTTCTATCTGAGAACTTGCAGCCACTTTGAGTGCTGCAGCACACGATTTCCCTCTCAAGGAGAAGCAACTTAGCAGCATCCAGAAGTGTGTAAATATAGCAGTGTTGTTTTGATTCTTCCAAGCGCTCCTTGTCACTGATACCTGCACAGTAGGCAGCTGGGAGGGTGAACTGTAGACATCTTTTGTTGTCATGGATACAGTAATGATCACTGGTTTAAAACAGCCACAACAGTCACAGCACCACCTAATGTCTTGATGACCCATCCAGCCATGCTGAACAACTCCCTTTTGCTGTGTAACAACATCACACAACTTCCTCTTTAGTTCCCAGCAGATGAAACTCATAAAACCGCCGTTAGCTGAAGGCTCTTGTAGCATCAGTGTTTGAAATACTGTTTTTCAACTTGACATCAACAAATTGCTACTTTTGTTTTTTTTAAACAAATCTTGCTTTTACCTATAATATACCTCTTTGCAGCTGATTTGCAAAAAAAGAGTCCCTTTAAAATACCCACAGACGAAAACTGAAGCAAGCTTTGTGTATCGTGGGTTAGGGTCATCGTTTGGCCTCACTCCACCTGTTCGTACCCATGTAACGCAATGAACTCATCCTGCTGAGGGTGCACTCTGCTGACCAACAGAGACTGATCTGAGAATGTTTTGAAATACAAAACACACCATCACACATGAGAGAACAGCTTTTGTCATTTTGAAGTGTTGAACTACGCAGTGCCTCCCCCCTCCTGCTGCTCTGCCAGGACTCTTCTCTCATGATGCATTATTCGACTCCCTGTAGACAAAACACAGCAAACAAACAGTATTTTGAATGGTTTTTTGGGGCCCGCTGCATCATGCGTTGCTTGGGGCACATTGGGTGGTCAGTGCATGTGACCTTTTCATAGTGGGGCCAGATAACCCCCATCCATCCCTATTAGAAGGCAGTGTTCAGGGACAGCAGCCAGAGTGACACAGTCCCAGCTGGGTGTCCCTGGGGAAAAGACTGTGGAGTGCAGGGAGTGATCCCCATGGTGCACAGAGGTGTGTGTGTGTGTGTTGTTCTGTGCAGATAGGACTCTGTGACTCTGAGATATGCACAGGCTCATTAATTAGAGGCTCTCATTATCCCCCCTCAGGCTCCAGACACTTAATCAACACCAAGCTCTGACTAAGACACAACTATACGTGCACACACACACACACACACACACACACACACACACACACACACACACACACACACACACACACACACACACACACACACACACACACACACACACACACTCATGCTCACCCATCTCACATATTCCACAGCAGGCTAGATTCTGACACAACATCATCTACCAAACAGCTCCGTTAGAGGAGGTGAATGAATGAATGCTGATGAGGACTATTTGTTTTCAGTGATGTACAGCACAACAGAGTGGAGGGTGTCATTGCTGTTTAACACTTTCATTGTTATGGTGTTGTTAAGCCCTTCAGAACAGATTTATCCAGCCGCCATGTCCTTCTATGCAGGCTATCTATCAAATACTGTAGAAAAAAGCTAAATTTCCCACCTAATAAATGTTGATGCTAGGAATAAAGTTAATTAGGATCCACCACCTTACACATCAGGCAACACTGTGATTAATGTAGGCATATTTGTTAAAAATAATTTGCATGCATGAGACTTTATAGATTGCTGGCAAAATGTTCATGTGTGTTTTATAACAGATCTGTTTACCCTGTGAATGTATCTGTCTGCTTGACACACGAGGTACACGTCGAGGTGTTTTTACTGTGGAATTTACTGCCTTAAAACTCCTGTCCTTGTAATTAAAAGACCGCTGTTTATCCAAATGGGACAGATAGTGTACAAAGACTCTCCGTCTTGGCTTAGAAACTGAGAATCCACATGGTAATTAATTACCCCTCTGACATTCAGAAGGATTTACGGATAGGTACTCGTAGGGCTGGGCGATATGGCAAAAATAGAATATCACGATTTTTCCAATATTTTATCACGATTTCGATTTTATCACGATTTTTTTATCCATGAATAGCATAACTTCAATTGCGTATTAAAGAAGAGAAACATTGAATAAATAAACATTTATTGATATTAGGGATAATCAGCACAGTGCTAACACACTTATATTTTAAACTCACACCAGAGATGATAAAAGCCCTGAGAGAAACAATTACAAAAATCAGTTTTCCTCGTTTTTCAAGTAACTTAACATAAATTAAAATCGTAAACATATTTAAAGTGCAAACATGTCAATTGCAAACGTATTATGCAAACATTAACTTGTTCAAAATACTATATAGCTCCCAGTTGCTCATGTAGTGGATAGTTAAGCTCAAATACGGCTCTGATGTGCGGCTGGACCAGAGATCGCTTGTGGTAGCAAAAAACTGCGCATTCTGAATATTTTCTGCAACAAGTCTCTAAATAAAGTAAAATTTTCCAGTGCAGATTAGAGACAACCCATATAAGCACTGATTTGATCTCATTTCAGAGAAAAATAGAACAGGTTAGATGCACCTAATAAATAAAATTACTAACAAACTCAGGAATCTTTCTTTGCTTCACTGTTCTGGTGCTGAAAATATCACTAATGTGGATCAAAGGAGATACACAGATGAATGCACCTCTTATTATTTGGAAACTACATTTACTGCAGCTGGCAGAGGCAGAGATTGTTTCTATTGATACACAGAGTTTACAGAATCATTACTGCAGGAGGGAGCGGTAAAATACAGGGGTCCCTAACAAAAACAAGAAACTACGAGTCTGATGAAACCCGCTGGTTTTCCATCAGGCAGTCACGGGGCAGCTCCATCGACCCAGTGACCGAGCTCAGTCGGTACCGACACCGGCTCGGCAGAGGGTGAACGAGCCGAGGCGGCGTCGTGCTCTGCTTAAGAAGCGGTGTTATTTTCCTGCTTCAGAAGAAGCGTCCAACGTGTTTTTACGCTTTCTCCGAGACATGTCACGTCGCTAAGTTGTTAGCGCCGCGCGCTAAGGAAACCCTGCGTTCCTCTTCGGAACGAAAACCTCGTTGTCGCTCAGCCGCGGCGAAGCCATGTTTGTTCACACACAGGTGAAGGTGAAAACAAGCGGGGCACTAATATATTACTATGACTCACTCTGACTGGTTTAGGGTCAAACAAAGTCGTGTCATTCGCGTGGGGTAAGTTCCCTTTTCATTCAGAGGCAGAAATTCAACAGCAGAGCTGTGAATCGTGATAAAACGGTCTCTCTAAAATGACAGACCGTCAGATGTGTGGATCGTAAAACGGTCTAAAATCGTCATATCGCCCAGCCCTAGGTACTCGTCATCGTCGTCGTCTTCCTCCGCTTATCCGGGTCCAGGTCGCGGGGGCAGCATCCCAACTAGGGAGCTCCAGACCGTCCTTTAAAGTGTATTTTAGTGTATAAGTTTTAACCCTCTGGAGGCAGGCGTTGCAGATTTGCAACAGTTAAAACCTACCGGGTTGTGCCACATACGTATTTCATGAGCATTTTTAACTCTGAAGTACCCCTGAAGGACTTAGTTGCTCATCCTTTTATCAAAACTTATTTTGAGCCTGAGAGGGTTAAATCATTTTCATCCTAACTTTTGGGTTGAAGGATTGCTGGAGGGGCTGTATCATGCTATTTATAAACCATGGGCTCTATTGACCCATTCCTTCCGCTTAGAAATAAGATGCTTGTATTCTATCAGACTCCTCCTCCCCCGTGTGAATTCCACAATAGTACACAGCTGCATACGTGGTGACCGTAGATTCCCACTGTCGTGTGTCGCTCAAGTCAGAGGGTTGCACACACACACACACACACACACACACACACACACACACACACGCACACACACACACACACACACACACACACACACACACACACACACACACACACACACACACACACACACACACTCACACACACACACACACACACACGCACCATTCGGATGGAGAAAAGGCAGTAGGGATGAATCACATGGCCTCAGTTAGGGTTAGGGTTATATACACACACTCAGCTAGCAGATAGCGGTTAGCATTTTAGTTGTACTCACAGCAAGGTCTGGGTGATATGGTCAAAAATCAATATCATGGTATATTGAGGAATTCACCTCAATAATGATAAATGGACAATAACTACACGTATACGCAGAAAAAAAACATTTGTCCACTAGATGGGGCTGTCGTGTGTATTACATTGAGTCACGTGACTCGAGGTGGTGCAGCTCCTTAAAGGGCATGAGCGTCGCCAACCTACACGCATCTTTTTGTTTTGTTTTTTTTTACTATTGAATTTATTGACATGTGAAAACGATATTGGTTAGAGTCAGAAAATTCGATAACATTTCGATTTATTGCCCAGCCATACTCACAGCACTGGCCTATCCATGGGGTGGTTTTACATATGGCACTGGTTTAAAGAAGATCTGATAGATCTGAAAACCCACTTTAGTACTGGTGGTGGTTTAAGGGTGAAAACGTGGTCGCAATCTGATTCAGCTTTTGAGAGCTCCTGAAGATAAAACCCAACCATTTCTGACAATTAAACTCTTCTTCAGGAAGACTGGACAAGGATCCTGTTCTCTCACAGGCAAAAATCCATTTTTGGGTTCTATGCATTATTTAAAGAGCAGACTAAATAAGAAAAAAAAATCACCTTTTTACCCCTGTGGAGATTAAACTCCCTGCTAGCTGCACAGAGAAACTGGGTGTTAGTGTTTACAGGGGAGGAGGGATCCGGTGTCGGTACAGGATCTGCTCGGGTGCAGGATCGGCTCGGGGTCCTTCGACTGCCGATGACTTCAAAGTAGTTGATTTCCTGAACATGAAGCTTACGGAAGTTACGTTATCACGTTATGATTTTGATTGGTCAGGACAAATTTGCAGTTGTAGTCTTAGCGGTTGTAGTCCTGTAGTCCAAAAATCAACACTTTTTATATTTGAATTTCAAAATATGAGCAAATGATAAACGGTGACCCTCAAAAGCTCTTGATGTTGATGAAATGGAGCAAAATAAAATATAAGAACTTTACTGAAAGACACCAAACAATATTTTGAGTCAAAGAATGTATTTAGATAACAACTAAGGAAATATACACATGAACTCCACATTAATACAAACAGATATGGCTTCACATATAAGAACTGTTCTCTTTTTTGTCAGTCCGATGTTGGTTTTATGCAGTTTCACATTCTCTACAAAACAAAGATAATATGGTGTTTTATTAACAAATTACAATTATAAAGAAATCATTTAGGTGTTAACAAACAATAATTTATTAACAAAACTGCTGATGTCTCTCCAAAACGTATGTGTGAAAGCCGAGTAGATTTGCAGTAATGTGACGTCATTGGCAGTCGAAGGACCCCGAGCCGATCCTGCACCGACACCGGACTTGAGAGACTCCCTGAATGGGGAGGATACTGGACCTGCAGTTTTTATCTTAGCTGCTGCTGGCGGCGATATTTACACCCATAAATAATTTTGTATAAATAACTAATATGAAATCAGTTTTAGTGAAAATGTTTATTAAATAATGTAGCATGAATCACTTGGACTTTTTGGAAACTGGGGCTTAGAATGGCTGCAACACACTTAGATTTTGGCTGTGCTCTGACTAGCTGCTAATGTAAACCCTGTTTCTCCAAACAGAGGCCATTCAGTGAGCTTTCTAATGGCAGCAAACAATCCACTATTAATAACCCCTACATTGGAAAACCTCTGCAACTTGTTAACTTAACTATCTATCATCATTTCAGCAGCACAATGTCTGTTTATAAAATTAAAACAACAACAACAAGCATTTACTGAATATTTATTTGACTTCACAACTGTAGCAGTAGCAGCAGCATTCCCAAAAGCGGACTCGTTAGAACTATTTTCCGCCACTTTACTCAGTGACAGTATTCTCTTCAGTCTGCAGGATTGTAATAAATTCACGGAAACAAAATAAGGCATGCGTTGGCAGGTGACAGGAACTGTCTTCTCCGAGTCCATCTTTGTATTATTGCAGCTGTCGAACTTATTCTCTAGAGCCAAGCTAACTTCAAAGCGCGGCTTCCCTCACCAGCCCCTGATCAGAACTCACAGTAAAGACATTTCTGAGGGCGTGATTGGCAAGAACAAGAAAAGGAAGCGCAAACTTTCAAACGGCTCCAAGTAGGGGAAAATGAAAGAAGGAGTTTTTGTTTCCCTCTGAAGGCTGGAGTCTGATTTCCTGTGTGGCTGTGATTGGGAAAGCAGAGGCACGCACAGGGAGGCCGCTCCTCTATGGAGATGCCAGATGACGGGCTTCACCGCTGCAAGACTGTTGCCTAACAGCACGCTGGAGTGGCCTCTGATTGGTCCCCGAGAATGCCTTTTGCAGAAAAGCTTCCTGCAGAAACCTTTTTTAGATTTGTTGTGATTTCAGCATCTGAGTGGATATTTTGTAAAGGGCAATCTAATCAAATATCAAGGGAATGAAAATATTGTTACAGTATTCACAACCTGCCCTAGCAGAGAACCAGCTGTGTGTGTGTGTGTGGAGGTTTTATGAAACATTCGTTCCTGCTCATCCATGTGGATCACCAAGTGGACTCCCTGTGCACAGCAGGAGTTTGTCCATCACGCCATATGTCAGCTTGGCCCCTCCTTCTACTCGCTTTTTGTCACCCGAGTGACCCCGGGATGCACTGCAGACCATGCTGACCCCTAAGAGACTCAAGCGTATTGACAAACTCGCCGCTCCAGAGAGTCCATTACCTAAACCAATTTAAATCACAAGCCTTTTGTTCAAGCTTTCATATCGACCATTTCCTAACTCACTTTTCTTTTGTTTTGAGCCTTTCTGAGCCACAAGCCTCACTGGAAACAGTCCCTTGCTGCCACGCATCCTGTGATGATTCGTTTTCCAGCACCGGTGAATTTCTGCCCATTCTGTGACTGTAGGTGTGATTCCTGAGGGTTTTTGTTACTAACTCAACCTTGTGCTTTGTGTCCCTTTCCTTCATGCATAAAACTTTGTTTTTAAACCCAAGCTGCAGATATTAACTCTCTCCAGTCAAATATGTAATAAAAAAATAAAACTCTGGCAACATTATGCATCTGATGGCAATGTGTGGTAAAATATTGCACAGCAAACTGAGTGTGACAGCTGCTCAGCAGAGAGAAACAGGAAAAATGTACACTATAGATGCATTCAAGGTTCCTCCTCCTGTGTGAACTGTGATTTTTATGCATGAATCCAGTCCATGTTTCAACAGCAAAAAAACCTTACCAAGGACAGCTTCTGTTGATGGAGACGCAAGGCAGCACTACTGCAGCTGTTGGATGGATCTGTTTAGCTCATGAAAATCTATTTAAACTCTGGCGAGGTTGTCCTTTTTATTTGTTTTTATATAACCAAGAAATAAATCTTTTCAAATGTAAAACCTGTCGAAGCTTGGCAGCATTTACAACAGTTTCCACATAATAGAGCGTTAAATAAAGGCTTGGATTGGGTCTATAAACACATAGGCTGCGCTGCTGTGTTTTTATTGCAGCTGACTAGAGTTAAAGACACGACTCAGTCTCAGAGCAACCACAGCCCGCCTCTTGTCTGCTCGCAGCGCGGTGCGTAAAACGTAAAAGCGCACTTTTTTGGGCAGCTCGTGCGCCGGCGGCGCTATGACCCAGCGACCTCCTGCCTCCTCAGCTCCAAGTCTGTAAACCGTGAGTCTGGAGGAGCGGAGGGGAGGAAGTCACTAAAGAGCTGTAGTCCAAATTGTTGCTGTTGCAGGCTTTGCTTCCAGTTCCTCACGAATTCCAGGGATTTTTTTTCTTGTGCGTACCTCCTCCTTCCCATGAACGTAATCTCGCCGCTTGTGGCGCCGTCTCTGCCAGGCTGCTTCACTGCTCCTCCACTTCCAAAAGTATCCATCAGCTGCTGGGAAAACGGAATTTGATCACTGTGGTGACTATTTCTGTATTTTCTTGGTTCCCTTTGACTCGAAGAGGACAGATCGGACATATTTTATCCGCCTTACGTCGGACTAACCCAGATCCAGACTCGTCCTCGTTCTGAGAAACTTACAGAATAATATTCCTAACACACACCGCCTGGATCCAGAGAGGGGGAGCGGGTTTAACGGACTTTGGATTTACGCACAGGAACCTTTCACCCACATATTGCCAGCTGACACTGCTGCGTGCCTTTAATTTATTTCTCCAAGTTCAGCTGTGGATGGAACCGCTGCGTGTGATTTACATGACTACGCTGTCGCCCTGAAAACTGCCGCAAAGCTGCGACTCGCACTCCGTCACCATGCAACGCTTGCTGGAGAAAATCTGCAGCAAACCCGAGAGAAGTGGCAAGGCAGCAGAATGACTTGCGCTCTGGATTTCTTTGACTCTATCTTCCGTTCCCACTCAGCCTAAGATCTTAATGCTGTTCCATTTTGGTTTACAAATATGATGAAATGGCAGCCCCGGAAGAAGGTGAGTCACATCACACTCTTTTTTTTTTTAAGTTGTGATCCTGAACAGTCTGGTGGATCTCAAGTTGGAAAGAGGAGGTGGTTTAAGGGAATTAATTACAGTTATGCTGTAATACACGTGTTAATATGAACAGTTATTGGTGACTAATTGTCTTATTTGTTGTTGATTATGAATAATTGGTGTTTTCGCCTTTGATATAATTCTATTTAATTTGGTTAGCATTGATAATGCGTGTTTTGTGACCTGGAAGCTCACGTGTTCAGCAGCTCTAGCCTTTTTATTTAGCTTTAGAAAAAACAAAACCAGGCTAATCTGTGCTAATAAACACACAATTAAGCTATTTTGGGAGGGATCTTGTGGAATTATCAGCTTACATTGTGAACGGTTGTGTGTGAATGATAACTTTGCCAGACTAAATAAATGAAGACAAAACTCTTATTTTAGAAGTTTCAGAAGAACCTGGAACCTCATCTTTTATTCTTGCTTCCCGAACTCTCCGCGGTTTTCTTTTCCATTTTTAACCTACATTTTACCTTGAAGTCCCTCTTGTTTTCTCTGTCTCCTGTTTCTCAGTGTTCAAAGCCTTCGGGTATTACAGCATGGAAAATATGTGAGAATCATCTGGGGTCTATAAAATACTGGTAGCAATAGAATGCCTATACTGGTTTGGTGTCACCACTAGGGGGCACCTCTCCGACAAGAAACAGCCTGATTCTACAGAAGGAAGCTTTAAAGTGAAAAAAAGGAAAAGATAAATTATATTTTATTCATTTTTCTAGATTATTTTGAGTATTTTAATATGTTCTTGTCACAAAGTGTTATTTTTCACCATAAACAGAACTGCTGACTTAATTACCTCCTGATCCAGATTTGGTTTTTCTGCCAAACTGACAAAAAGATGTTGCATAAAAATAAAAAAAATACAGTCCATAAGCACTGTTCATTAATTAAATGGTCACACAATGACTACAGCTCTTGCTACAATGTAAATGACTAAAATCTGCAGAATTGATGCACATTTAGTATTAAATATGATCGATAGATGATATAACAGCTAATTATCAAAGCAAGCTCCAACAGAACAGCCCAGTGCTGTCTGTGAGCATGCTCTAATGATTCCTACAGCTGTGCTGTGTGTCTGCCAGAGTCATCCTTGAGACCCCCCTTTGAGGGCTGAAAGCTTTCCTCGCTGCAGGGGCTGGTTTTCTAACCACACTGCAGGGTCCTCAAGTTTAAAATCTCTGGAAAGCAGCACTGCCTTCCCTAAATTTTGTGGATAAACATTGCTCGCCCACTTTGGTGGCTCTTATTAAGAATGGAAACTGTTTCTCTTTGTTGTGATGTTGACTAATTAACCTGTTTGGTGCCGGGTGCATGCCTGTAGACACATGCCTGCAGAATGGTGTTCAATATTTTAAATTACTTGCCATGCACTAAGTGTTTGTATGTGTTTTTTGTGCTTGTCTGACATTGTCCCTTCACCCTGATAACTGGTTTCCTGCCAAGGATGTCCTCTGACTGAGATATTGCAAAAAGCAGGAAGGCGACTGGAATAATAATATAAAAAAACCAGTTCTTTTTCTCCACGTTGCAAAGAAAGCAATTTCTTTTAGATGTCAAGCTCCCTTTAGAAAAAAAAACACACAATATCCTAAAAGATTCTTGATTGTTCCAGTTATTTCTTCTTTATATGCTTCTGTACTGCACTTGTAAAGAATCAATAGGAGGTGTAGGAGAATCCTATCGATTAAACCTGAGTGTCCAGTCCACCTCCTCATAATGGATTACACAAATGAGTCAAAATTGCAAATGTCGAATGTTCAACAGACAAGAGCAGTTCCTGTAAAGTTGCTGGTAGTTACCTCGTCCTTTCTGGAAGGAGACTGAGAGCCAAATAGATTCAGTGATTTGTTTTCTCTTCATTTGTTGACCTGGAATGCTGTCAGACCGAGACAGACTGATGTAAAACATTCAGAAGGGGTTGTGTAGGTTGTTGAAGTCAGATGATGCTCAGTGTGGTGTAGATTCGTCATTTTGTTGGACATTCTCAGAAGTTCTGGTCCATATATTTTTTAGATCCGTCTCCGGTGAATTGTACTGACTCAATTAAATATCTTGGTGTCTAGATCCATATCTCTCATCCAAGACTCATATTCAAACTGTCATAAATAAAATTCACTTTAGTCTGAAAACTTTGTAGAGGTCTATTAGGTGCGTTGACTTTACAGTTCGAAAACGTATTGTCACTCAGCTTTTATTCCCACTGTTGGATTTCGCTGACATAGTTTATCATAATTCTACAGCTTCCTGTCTCCACTCTATTGATATTACTTATAATAGCTTGTGTCATTTTGTTTTACGTTGTCCATTTCTTACTCATCACTGTCATATGTACGATTGTTTGTCCTGGCTCTCTGCTGAGTCTAGGAGGAAATTTCATTGGTTGTTGTTGTTATTTAAAAGTATCTATTTGAATTTTCCTTCTTACCTAACCACCCTGTTAATACCATTCTGGTCTCACTATGACATTCGTAGAACTCTGTATACCTCATGTTTTGTTCCCCGGTGTAGAACTGAGTCAGGGAAGCTGGCTTTTTCTGTTAAATCTCCATCTGACTGGAATCGTTTCCTGTTGTTTTGAGATCCACCACTTCTTTTAGGCAGTTTCAATCTTTAATTCATGATTATTTATTACCCATCTGTAGCTGTTTTTGAATTATTATTGTGTCATCACTTAGTCTTACTTTTTATCCTAAATTCTCTCTGAGCTTAGTATTAGTTGTCTCTCTACCATTTAGTTGCGTCGTTTGTCATCATATTTTTATCTAAATGTACTTTAGTACATTTGTTCATACAATTTATTCTATTTGATTAGCCAACTTCTTAGTTTTATTATTCTTATTAATTTAAAATTTTATTTGTTGTAATTTTTTAATTTCTGTATTATTATTATTATTATTATTATTTAATTTTTATGTTTTATGTATTGATTTTTTTGTTGTTTTTTTATTGTGGTAGTGTTAATTTGTCATTTTGTTTTGAATTCAGTTTATCGCTCTGTTATCTTGTCTTTGTATTTGCGTCTTTGTTTCCAGGAGGACCCACTTGTAAAAGAGATGCTTCATCTCAAGTGGTTTTATCCTCCTTAAAATATAAGTAAGTAAGTAAATAAATAAATAAATATTGGCATGATATCATGGTTACACCCATGATGGCATTCTCCTGTTCCGCCACATCACCAAGGCTCAGGGTCCTCATTTATCAACCTTGCTTACGCTCAAAACGGTGCCGGAAAACTGCGTAAGCAACTTTCCACACAAACTTTGGGATTTATGAAAGAAAACTTAGCGGGAAAATGTGCGCAACTTTAAGTTGACTAAGGACCTGGCTTACGCACATTTTGGACATGGAGAACACCTGCAGTGCTGCTGCTGAGAAGGATACAATTATGAATTCCAGCAGCATTATCACTTGTACTGCTTCAAATGCATACATGCGCGTGCACGTACACACACACACACACAGACACAGACACACACACACACACACACACACACACACACACACAAACACACACACACACACACACACACACACACACACACACACACACACACACACACACACACACAGCCTGAAGCGCAGAATACGGAATGCAGAATTTCAGCAGGGGGGCAGAATGAGACAGAATGTCATGCGTCTGTGACGGTGTGACTGTGACCCGATTGATCATGCGCCCTGGCTACTTAGTCAAGGTAGATCTCAGTTTGGCTGGCTGGTTAGAGTGTGAGACTTTCACCCGGGAGTCTGGGGATTGACTCCCGATCGGACCGTTTTTTTATATCCGCCACAGATCTCTCTGAAGAACTCACAACATTGACGGCTTCAGCAACGCTGTGCCACTCCGTGGATTTTCTCTTATTTGTTTTGCAAAAGCACTTCCTTTCATTTCTCCACCTCACCTACAAGCACCTCAATTTCTGCTTGTGAAATAGCGCTTCCTTGATCTGCGGTGGCGATCGAAATGCTGCAATGAGCCGGCTCATGTATATGCATGAGATCCAAAAGGCACTTTGCATTGACCATTTATGGCAGTAAGTGGAGGTGATTAGGGCGGGATGTGACTAAATAGTAGCTGAGAACCTTTTTCGTTAGTCTCTGATTTATGAAGCGGAGAATGCGTGCATCTGTGCATACTCCATGTTTGATAGATCACAAACCTACTTGGCGTAAGTACTTTTTGTTTGCTGAGCTCAAATACGGTAAGGATTCTACGCAATGTTTGAAAAATGAGACCCAGGACTGGATAGAGATCTGGTTACTGTGGAGTTAAGTGAATCCTGGTGATCCTGTGTGACCCTCTTGTTCCTGTTCTTAGCTAACAGTGATCATCTGCTAGAATCCATCTGTATCAAGGTTCACCATGTTGTGGATCAGAGATGCTGTTCTGAAGACCGTAGATGGAACAAGGTGTTCGTTGAGCTGCTGTTGTTTCTCCATCATCTCAAACCAGTCTGCTTATTCTCCTCTGACCTCAACAAGACATTTTCAGCCGCACAGCTGCTGCTTACTGGGTCTTTTCTCTTTTACAGATTAGTCTCCATGAACCCTGGAGATGTTTGAAGGTGAAATCCCAGTAGCTTCTGAAATACAACCGTCCCACATTCAAAATCACTTCAGTCCACTTTCTTCTTCATTCTGGTTTGTGGTTTGAATTTGACCTTGTGCACAACTGAACATCCTTCCTTATCCATCTGGGAAACCACTTCCTTTTCGTCACAAACATTTAGAGCAGTATGAGGTACATTCATAGGCATGCCAAGCCTGTAGGAGGCAGTAGTTCCCTGAGTCGTCAGTGTCTTTGGCGAAAAACATTTCTTGGGCATGCAATAACTAGGTGGCGGGCATTAACCACCCTTAATGTGTCCTTCGCCTGTGGTCTTCTACAGCAGTTATAGAGCTTGTGCAAACACAGGCCACACACGTGATGTCAGAGCATT